GAAGCAGCTGAAGAGGGATTAGTCAAAGAGGACTGTGTGGTTTGAGATGCTGTGGCAGTGACTGGTGCACTAATGGTGGATGACTCAGTAAGAGTTGTTGTGACAGAGGAAGAACCTGTTGGGGTTGAAGTTGTTGGTATTGTGCATGGACTGTAATTTGGACAAAGTATAGTTGAGGGCATCGCGGTTGTTGTAGCTGTTGTGGAAGATTCAGCTGTTGTAACACTAGTTTGTGCAGCTGTTGTGGTTACTCTTGCAGTAGTGGTGGACGATTCAGCAAGAGTAGTGGTTGTTAAGGGCACTGCTGTTGTTGTAGCTGTTGTGGAAGATTCAGTTGTTGTAACAGTAGTTTGTGGTTCTGTTGTGGTAACTCCTGTAGTAGTGGTGGATGATTCAATAAGAGTTGTAGTGGTTGTTGAGGGCACCGCTGTTGAGGAGGATTCAGTTGTTGTAACAGTAGTTTGTGGTGCTGTTGTGGTAACTCCTGCAGTAGTGGTGGATGATTCAGTAACAGTTGTAGTGGTTGTTGAGGGCACTGCTGTTGTTGTAGCTGTTGTGGAGGATTCAGTTGTTGTAACAGTAGTTTGTGGTGCTGTTGTGGTAACTCCTGCAGTAGTGGTGGATGATTTAGAAACAGTTGTAGTGGTTTTTGAGGGTGCTGCTGTTGTTGTAGCTGTTGTGGAGGATTCCGTTGTTGTAACACTAGTTTGTGGTGCTGTTGTGGTAACTCCTGCAGTAGTGGTGGATGATTCAGTAACAGTTGTAGTGGTTGTTGAGGGCACTGCTGTTGTTGTAGCTGTTGTAGAAGATTCAGTTGTTGTAACAGTAGTTTGTGGTGCTGTTGTGGTAACTCCTGGAGTAGTGGGGGATGATTCAGTAACAGTTGTAGTGGTTTTTGAGGGAGCTGCTGTTGTTGTAGCTGTTGTAGAAGATTCAGTTGTTGTAACACTAGTTTGTGGTGCTGTTGTGGTAACTCCTGCAGTAGTGGTGGATGTTTCAGCAGGAGCTGTAGTGGTTGTTGAAGACGTCATTGTAGCTGTGGGTGTTGCGGAGGTGTCGGTTGTACTAACAGATGATGGTGATGATGTTGAATCTGTTGTGGAGTTTGTTGTACTTTGGGATTGGACTGTTGCTAGAGAAGACAAAAAGTTGGTGTGCTGTTAAAGTTATATATTTTAAACATGTATATATTACGTTTAAGTCAATTCGAGAATTGTTGTTGTTGTTTTGTACAATTAGTTTTACATTTGATTCACCTACCAATGAAAATGCACATTATAATAAAAGCTTTTCCCTCCATTCTGGAAAGAGTCCAGTGGGTATAATAAGAGTCTGCAAAGCAAGCAATATACACAACGTTTAAATACACACACACACACACACACACACACATTCATATATATATATATACAGTGCCCTCCACTAATATTGGCACCCTTGGTAAATATGAGCAAAGGCGGCTGTGAAAATAAATCTGCATTGTTTATCCTTTTGATCTTTCATTTAAAGAAATCACAAAATTCTAACCTATCATTGTAAAACAATTGAAAGTGGGGGGAAATCTCATTGTGAAATAAATGCTTTCTCAAGTTCACATTGGCCAGAATTATTGGTACCCAGTTATTGAAAAATCCTTTTCCTTTTTCTCCTGTAACAGAGTTTTCTCCTATAATGCCTGAAGAGTTTGGAGAACACCTGATAAGAGATCAGAGACCATTCCTTCGTACAGAATCTCTCCAGATCCTACTGATTCCCAGCTCCATGTTGGTGCTTCTTCTCTTCAGTTCACCACACTCATTTTCTATAGGGTTCAGGTCAGAGGACTGGGACATGGCAGAAGCTTCATTTTGTGCTCAGTGATCTATTTTTGTATCGATTTTGATGTTTGTTTTGGATTATTGTCCTGATGGAAGATTTAACCACGGCTCATTATAAGATTTCTAACAGAGGTGGTCAGGTTTTGATTTTTGTATCTGTTGGTATTTGATAGAATCCATGATACCATGCATGAACAAAATGTCCAGGACCTCCGGCAGAAAAACATTAAAGGCCCACAACATTAAAGATCCAGCAGTAAATTTAACCGTGGGCATGGGGTACTTTTTATCCCTGTTTGTACTAAACCCATCTGGTGGGTTTTCTGCCAAAAAGCTATTTTTTTAGTTTCATCTGACCAAAGAAGCCAGTGCTATTTGAAGTTCCAGTCGTGTCTGACAACTGAATATGATTTTTGGATGAGCGAGGAGAATTTTTCTTGAAACCCTCCTGAACAACATGTGGTGACTTTTTTAGGCTTTCTGGCCCTAAGACTCAACTAAACTCTGCAATTCTCCAGCTGTGATCCTTGGAGAGTCTTTGGCTACTCAAGCGTGCCTCCTCACTGTGCATTAGGACAATATAGACACACATCCTCTTCCAGGCATTTTTGTAACATATTTAGTTAATTGGAACCTCTTCATTATTGCACCCGATGGTGGAAATGGGAATTTTCAATGCTTTGGCTCTTTTCTTACAGCCACTTTCTATTTTGTGAAACTCAACAATCTTGTTCTGCACATAAGAACTATATTCGTTGGTTTTACTCCTTGTGATGAAAGATTAAGGGAATTTTGCCTTTGTGTTCCTCATATTTATAATCCTGTGGAGCAGGAAGTCATGGCTGGACGATTTCATGCTCCTAGTCACCCTGGTGTGCTACAAATGTAAATATGAATGGGATTATACTTCAGAGATGTTTTACTCATAAGAATTTCTAGGAGTGCCAATAATTGTGGCAAACATGCATTGAAGAAAAACTTAAATTTTCTCCCCACTTTCAAATGTTTTACTTCAATGAAAGGTTAGACATTTTGCAAATTTTCTGAATGAAAGATCAAAAAGATCAGGGAAGCAGATTTATTTGGACAGCCGCCTTTGCTCATATTTACCAAGGGTAAAAGTACCAAATTTAGTGGAGTGCACTGTGTAAGCCTCCTATCCCAAGGCTACATTTATTTAATAAATGTACAAAAATACAGAAAAACAATAATTTTGTAAAATATTAATAACTGGCTTCTATTTGAATATATTTTAAATAATATATTTTCTAATTTATTCCTGTGCTGCAAAGCTGAATTTTTTAGCAGCCATTACTCCAGTCTTCAGTGTCACATGATTCTTCAAAAGCATAGAAGACTTATTTCAAAAACATGAACAAACTGAATTATTCCAAACTTTTGACCAGTATTATATAATAATATAACAATAAAGCAAAACATTCATATATATATATAT